TCACTGTTGACAGTTACAATTTCGAGAAAGTAGAGAATTTCGTTTACACGCCAAAAAAGAAGAAGAAGAAGAATGTTTTTATACATGGCTCATTCCACGGTGACGGTTGTGACATTTCAACTCACATTTTAAGGCTTACTTCTGTACACAATGCCTAAACAAAAATTTTACAAACAATTTAATCCAAACGAGTTTTATGAATTTAAGTCAATGTGACGGGTGTGACGAGTATGCAATAGAAATTAGCTACTACTTACTTTTATCAGAGTTTTTCTGCTAATTACGTCTTCTGCTTATAATTTTAAATAGTTCGTTGTATAGTCAAATAAACATTTTCAACATTTACGCCAAAGTTACTCACCTACATATATTGGAAATTATAGATATATTCCAAACGCCACTGTGACGTGTGTGACTTGACTTTGTGACGGGTGTAACAAATTGAGGATGAATACACAAATACCCATTAGTAGACAACTAAACTAACTTTATTTCTCAAAAAATCGGATTTTACAAACACATAACAGTCACACATGTCACCTAAGGACGCGATAATCCTTGATCGGACTCTTTATGTCCACTGTATGTCTGAGTCACTGTAAAGTACCTTATTTTTAAGTAGTACTATACTGTTCATGAAGCTGTTACCTGTCAAACCGTATGAGATACTGTCTTTACCTTGACAAGTGAAGTAACGTTTTTTTTTTGTCTATCCGTGACAGCATAGCTTAACTTTCCCATTGCTCGAGCAACATATCTTTATGGTTAGCTTTATCATCGGTGATCACAAACAGATATATGAACCATTTCAGATCAGTAGATAAGTAACGGTAACAGTTCCTGGCCGAATTTATTAAAATTTGTCAAATTTGTTAAATTGAGACGGGTGACCAACATAATCGTTTTTTTTTTTTTTTTTTTTTAACAAAAGCATATAAATACTTAAAAGCAAATTCGCACATATTCGCCTGTGTCATAGCGTTACTTAAGAAAATTAACCTCTCATATGAGTTTTTAACTGGTATAACCTAAAATAAAAAATATCTGATTTTGAGATAAGTTTCGAAATTTTGGCTTTTAGTCTTGAAAGTTAGATTTATTCGAGCTCCGTTTCAAGCCTTGATCTTTTCCTCGTCGTTATCGTTGTTATTATTCAGTTTCTAAATGTTTTGTTAGACTTTTAAATTTTAATTCAAAATGGATACAAAAGTGTCTAAAGTTTTTTTTTTTGCATATACATACAACAAACACGATACACCTTGTAAAATCTAAACAAATTAACGGTGTATCTAATCTAATTGTCAATTATATTTGATGTACATTTGGTACTAAGTTTTAGGAGAAAGTATTCCCCATTTTGCGGTGACTCAGATCAGATAAAAAAAAACCGGGGGTTTCGCTAATTTTTCCGTCATCATTTAAATAATCAAAAACGAAGTGTTTTCATTGACAGCGCTAGGCAATAATCTTATCTGAACAATTTTACTCAGCTTACAGTAGTACATCTTCAAACATACATATATGTACATATGTATGCATGTAGATAAAATTGTTTGCAGACATCTAATTACCCAGCAGGAAATGTATCTAACTATAAGCTAACTTGAAGTTGATTACAAAGGAACTAAAGGTCACTATTATCTGTATATTTTCTTTGACGAAATTTAACTATATTTCTATGGCGATGGCCGCGAAATAGTCAAGGTTGGCTACCTCTGAATGCGATGTAACTAACTTGTAACTAACTACTTTTGGACATACAATATCAATAGGAAAAACAAAGTATTTTTTTTTGTTTTAGTTTTATTTTTTTATTTATTTACTTTATTTATTTTATTACATTTCATATTTGTTAACATATTCTGCTGTAGCTGGTCCCATTTTCGAACTTTGTCAGACATTACTTCCAAATGATAATATAAAATTTCGATCTTATTTATCCTCAATTCGAAAAAGTAGTTGCGAAGTGCAGGATATTTAAATAGAACCCGATCTCCTGCATTAATCCTGCATTACTTGTCAACTAGTTTCAAGTTAGCTTTTTGTAGCTAACTACAAGTTATATATTTTATAGAAATCCCGCAAAAAATCTGACTACAAGTGGGTTATTTTTTATCAATTGATAATTTTTTTCCGCAGGGTAACGAAACCGTTGGGTAACATTTATATATGTATGTATATTTGTATGTATTGTATGTGTGTTTTTATTATCTTTGCAATATTAAGACGAAGGCGATGACTTGCGGCTTTCGTTGTTTATATTTTTTTTTTTATAAAAAACGGAGCAAAATTTA